GAAGGAGCTGCGTGACAGGACAGGAGTGATTGAGGAGTCAGAAATCCAACCTTCAGAGACACAAGACTGCTGCTACCCAATTTGATGGCATACCTGAGAGACATTGGAGAAGCCTGTCAGGGTTTTGCAGGCTCCTCCCTATTTATTTATTTAACTAAAGTTTTTCTTCAGGACTTGCATTGGTCACCTGTATTTTTGTTTCCCCTCATGCTGTATGACCTGGCTCGGGGTCAACTTTGGTTCCCACACTACTGTGAGGCACTGAGGACAGGTGACAGGGCCAAATGGGCACTGAGGGGCGTCACCAAACCCCAGTAATGCCACAGGCTGGTGCAGCTGGCTCGTGCATTCATAGCATTATACAGTTTTCCAGCTCAGACAGTACTTCTCACTGAGACAGACTGATAGGGCTTGCTGTCACCTCCTGTTGTGTGCCAGGTGTGACTGACTTCCTAAGATCTTTCGGGAATTTTCTCCAAACACAATTTCTTTTTAGAGGTTTAAGACACTGCTGTTACCCTTGATATCTCCTCTTTTCCCCTGGCAGACTGGAATTCTTATGGGGTTTGGTACTTTATATTGAAGGGGTTAAAATGTTAATTAATGAGTGTTGGGGTTTTCCCTGTGGCTTGAGGAGGTCTGAGGTTCCTGTAGGTCCTCCTACCCTTAACACCTCCTGCATGTCTTCCTGCAAGAGTGGAAAGCTTGGGCTCAGTAACCTCTGTTGCTTCTTCGAGTCCTACATGCTATGCTCTCTTTAAATAGCAAAACATAGTACAAAATACGCAGACGATTTTAAAGAAAACCGAGTCACTGGATTTTATACTGAAACACATCCTCTTGGGTTCTTCTATCTCACCTATGCCAGAAGTGAATGAAACTAATTTGTAACTTAACGAACTTCTCTGTCTCTTTGGGGTGAGTTGACCCTAAAGGAAGACAGAAACCTCACTAATAGCCCCAGTCTTTTGACAAATCCTTGCATGGTTTGTACAAGCAGAAGAAAGGAGTCCTTATTTTCTCCACTGTTCCTTGCGCTGTTGCATAAAGGCAAGCAAGTTATACAATAGCTAAATAGGGATTACACAACTGAGCTCCATAAATATAAATCAGAAACAGAGTCTCTATCCTGCACTGGACAAACTTTAAAAAACGGAAGGGTGAATTTCTGGTCCTAATGAAGTTAATGGCAAAACTCTTGCTTACTCCAGTGAGATCACAGTTTCATACAAAACCTTGGCTCAAGTCTTAGTTGGCTGACCAGGATGGATATTTAAAGCATATCCTTGTTAAATTTTTCCAAGTACTGGGATAAGACAACTTTCCTTTTTTTTTTTTTTTTTAGGTTTTGTGTGTTTTTTTCAAGCTCTTTGGTTATGATAAGGAGATGCAGAAAAGTATTTTAAGACCAAGTACTGAGCAGCCACTTGCAAACCTGAACTGGAAGCCTAAAAAGGGCCTGATATACCATTTCTGACTGCAAGAACAAATATTAGCAAAGTAGTTGTTCCCACGCTTCAATGTCAATACTTACAGCCACTGAAAGCTACTGCTGAGTCATGCTGCTTGGGTATCAGAGGGAAAGATGGGAAACCCTGATCTGTGGTGGCTGGGACTCCAAATGAGGAAAAACAGACATCGACAAAACAAATAAAAGCCCCTAACGAACCTAAGCTCTGCAAGTAAATAACTTTGTGAGATGATCCACTGTGTTATAAGGACTGCAGTGCAGCAGAGTGTCACTGGAGCTGTTTGGCACAGGGACCACACTCATTACTTGACAGTTGCTTTAGTTTGGCCTGGGGTGGACAGCAGTGCTGGGTAAGAAAAGTCATTGCAGTTTCTTCATGTCCCTGGGCTCATCTGGTCTGACTGTTGAAAACCATTGCTGTTACACTGAACGCTACCATGAACACCAGGGCTCCCCCCACCCACAAGATTCTTGCCTGATGAAAAAGAAATGCAAAAAAAAACGGAGGAGAAAAAGGAGAGCTTGTGCAATCAGGGCCACGCATCACATGTATTCCCAGCCCAAGGGTTATTTCTCTCCCCCTCTTCCCTAAAGCATATCTTAACAACTGAGCTGATTCAATGCAGAATGTCATTAACAATCTAACGGTGCACAAGGACAGAGGATCATCCTTATCTTACAGAAGCAAGCTATAAATAATCATCTTGGGCAAATCTAACATCCTGACAGGGTGACAGGATCCCAAAAAACTGATTCCAGTGTATTAATAAACATAAATGCTGAACCATTTCTTGCAGAGCTTTGTGGAGCTGCGTAAATCCTTCCAACAAGCATCAGATAAAGCTGTCGAGGTTGGGATGAATTGCTTCTATGTATGTGATTAAGCATAAGCAGTTAAAAAGACATAGCCTGCTATAAACAATTAGGTATGGTAGGTCAGTGCCATCCCAGTGTCATTGCTGACAGTTTCATTACTTAGGCCTGCCACAGATATAATTCTCCAGGCAACTGTCTGGAAAGTCATCATAGCCTTGACTGTTTCATGACCATCTTCTGACCAGCCCACATATGGTCCAAGCAGGGCAGGCCAAAGTCTCACAGGTTCAACTGTAACTTCCAACTATTATCACTCTGAAATATGGTGGCACAGCAGGCGGTGGCTCTATCCCTCCTCTGCACCAGCTAGAAGCCAGCTGGAACATGGCGGGCCAGAGAAATGGTCCTTCTTTTTTTTCTCACTGTTCAGAACAAGTGACTACCCAACTTGAAGTTTCATACCCAACCATCATACTGCAAGCTTATACCATCGATTTGGATGGAGCCATGCTACTTTACATCTTTATTCATCCCTTCTGACACTTTTCTACTTTTCTTCCTCCATTCACACTCGTGTCTTTTACTAACACCTCTCTACACTTATCTGTCCTGCCTTATTCATTCCCTCTCGCACATCCATGATTGCACTCTCTTCACACTACTCCCTCTTTCTTCTCCTTTGTTACACCCTGGACTCCACAGACCCTCCCTTGGCCTCAAAAAAAAGTAATGAAGAAGGAGAGAAGAAAGAAAGAAGAGAATTATTCTATATAAGAGGCAGTGAGAAATGTAGTGTACCTCTTGAATGAAGCCCTTTGAGAGGCAGCCAAGGACTATCCAGAATTTCCTTTGGTGAGCCCCTGCTTTCTCCAGGTCACGGGTCTTACTCTAAATTTGTGCTTCACTGGGTAGAAGCTTTGCTTGAGTGCTCATGTGTAAGACTCAAGGATTAAACCCAGAGGTACATAAGCAGGTAAGATGACGTCAAGAGTCAGTACACTATCACATGCCCACGCCAGGCCTCAGTCATTCCCAGGAAGCCTATACAATTACTTAGCTTCCACCCCTTTTGGCAGGTAGATTTTCTGCAGCAGAGAGTTATTTATTTTTTCTAAAAATAAGCAGAGCATTTATTGTTCAAAAATGTTGCCTCTGACTGTCAAGACCTTTGCAAACACTTACTATTAAGCATGGACACTCATTCTTAAGTGTAATGATGAACATGGTAAACAAATCCAGCCTCACTGAAGCAAAGAACAGAGACAAGCCTCCAGTCTCAACAAGTATTGCTCATACTTCAGATACAAAATCAAGAAACTCTGGCCTTTGGTACTCACTGGTGTCCTCGCAAACACAAATAGAGGCAGTTATTACCATTCTGTATATTTTTTCAAGTTCTGAATTGCAGTCATGCTTGTTTTACGTTGACCAAATAGCTTGAAGTGCCAAGTTTCCAAAACGACAAAATATAAGAGGAAACCGGCTGATATGTTTGCTAAATACTAGGTTTGCCTCTTGAAAGAAAAGACAAAGAACAAGAGGAGATTGTTCAGTGAAATAACGTTCAACAATAATTTTTGTGTGCAGCTTCCTCTGCCCTGTCCAGCCTATGCCAGGCGTAGAGACAATCTCCTTCCGGGCATCACGCAAACACTGACGCTGAGTTGACACTCTTCTTTATGGACACAGCAGCCAAATTGGGTGGCTAAGAAAGAGGCCTTCATTTTATCTACAAGGAATTCACTAGCAACAAGTCATGTGAGAGGTAGAGACAGAAAATGTGCTTAAAGATGCTGAGAGGCTTGCCTTACAGGATAAACTTAAGGGTTTACAAACTAACAGCTTGTCCACAGATTGCTCTCCTTAAGCCACAAACACCTGATAGCTTCAGTTCCAAACATGAAATTACGAACATGGTGGCAAACAGCAAATGCTACCACCTATATGACTCGCCACATAGTACAAAGACAACATCAACAACAGCAATTAATGTACACAGTCCTGTTTATCCTAGAGATCCTAGAAGCCCTTTGTAAACTTCAGAGATAATTTTATGGCAACCAAACTCAGGGAAAGTGGCCTCAGCCAGAATGAACAAGCGTGATGGGCTACTCTTACTCACCACAAAACAACACTTCAACCATAAGCAGCAGGACTAAAGACCTGGCTTAAGGCAGGTAAACTTACTGACAGCCTGTCAGGTGCTGAATATATAACAATTTCTCACTTAGTCTCTTCCTGAGTAAAATAACTGATCCAGCGCTACTGTCCAGTACTTATACCTCCTCTAGTAAACTGCAACATTATAGGATACCCAAACGTTACAATTTCCATTTGTCTTAGCAATTTGTAAGAACATACTTTAATAACTTCAAAGTGTTGGGCCAAGTTTGATTACCCACTTTTCCTTTTTATCTGTTGCTGCTTCTTCTTCACTAAAGCCAAGCAAACATGCAGAATTTCTGCCCAGAATAAAAGACCTTTCTGTGATTTATTATTAACGTATATAAAGAACAGGACATGCCAATTTTACTCTGATTAACTCTCTCCACATTTACCAAAACTTTGTAACTCAAAGCCAGGTTCTCCATATCTCAGCCTCTAAATTACCTGACAGACAGATGGTCAAGTGTAAAAGCAGAAACAATCACATCTATGTCGTAGGAAGGCTGAACAAGACCTAAGTTATTGCCAACTACAGCGGTTCACTTACCCTATAGTAGTCTGTGCTGTACACATCTCTAGACATCCCAAAATCCCCAATCTTCACCAGTAGGTTCTCACCAACCAGGCAATTCCGAGTCGCAAGATCCCGATGCACGAAGTGCTGTGACGCCAGGTAAACCATACCAGCTGCAATCTGCTGGGCAATGTGAAGCATCTGGGATTGGGTCAGCTCAGCAGGACGGTTGCCTTCTGCCATCAGTACTGCATCTGGTCCATGTGCCCTGCACCAAAATGCAAGCTGATTAAGTGATAGGCCACTTGTAAGCCAGAGAAATGAAAGGCATTAATGAGTCTAAAACCACACAACTGACTTACTCAAATAGAACAACAAAAAGGGCTACAAATTAACTGGTGAAATGGGGGAAAATTTCTATTTTGGCTTTTCTCATTTACTGTTTTCCTTCACTGTGTGAAAGACAGGTGGTGTGAAGAGCGCTACACAATAGGTGATATATTAATATATTACTCAGGGAAATAAGGCGTGTGTGTTCATCACAATAACCCTCTGTCCGAAACCACCACCCTTCTCCTGTTCTGTTATAGTAATCTTTTCTGGAGAAAGGCTGGCAAATGTAGCTCTTTGCTAACTGAGGAAAACTTTACCACTCTATAAGAGAGAAAGTCAATAGAGTGAAAGGCAATGAAGCGGCATGCATAGCATCGCTTTTCCTATGACCAGCGTTCCTTGATTTGTACAAGGAGATAGGCCATTGACCTTTCCATCCTCTCTAAAGAAGAAAGAGCTAACTTCCTTCTCAGATGCCATCTGAGAAACGAGGGCAGCACGTTTAGATTTACACTTCTAATTTCCAATCCAAATGCACAGCAGGAAACTACTTTTGCTTATTTCATCACCAAGGGTGAGTCCCACCTGATATGGAAATTCTTGACAATAGAAAGAGGACACAAAATACACACTATTTGGAATAACTAAACAGCTTCAGAAATACGAGCTTTTCAAGACCCAGCAAGTCCCTAAGACGCAACAATCAACTAATGAGAAACTTGTATATGCTCCAGCAGAAGGAGAGCCGTTCTGCGTTTGGAAAGTCCAGCAAAGTACTGGAACACATGTGCTTCACCCATGTTAGCTCTGGTATGTATGTGTAACATCATAGTATCTTGAAGATACAGATATAGACATTCCTATACACAACACTTTACAGTAAGCATTACTAGCTAATCCTGATACAGTTAATGAAGTCTTCTGGCAATCATTCCTCATTTGATACACCCTACAATATTCTGAATATCCTTTCCATTCATTCCATTACTTTGGGTTTTCAGAAGCCCTTTTTATTCCATTCCTGCAGACTGCTCTTTCTAAGAGACCATCTCTCCTCTTCCCTTTTCAACTTTTTTTGAAAAATACTCTAGAACTGATTTTTATTTTCTCTCAAAAGTCCTTTCTTCCTACAAAAAGGAGTTTCAGAGAATCACCTTTCTAAACAATAGAGGTGAGGCCTTAATTCAGCCCGAGAGGAAGGGCACAGGAGTTTGGAAAAGAGTTGCAAATTAATAAAAATCTGTGAGATCAAATCTGACACTACCTATTAGAAATATGATATTAAAATTGCCCCAAGGGAAGAACTCCATGAACGAAGTGACAGATGTGAGAAAGAAACGAAGGAGGGCGTGTAGCATTGCTGGGACGGCACCTGGTCCCAGGCAAAGAAGGCTCTGCCACAGGGTACCTACAAGAAGCCACTCAACTCATCTAGGTTGGGGAAGAATAAACGGGAGGATATGAAATCTCCAGCCAAGACTCACAGGCAATTTCCTATTGAAAAGCACTGTACCTTTTCATTGCATGTTGTTTTTTTTTTTTAATGACTGCCGTCAGGCATGAAGCCCTGAGTTGCTAAATTAGAGAGCTCTTCATTTTTTGCTAGCTTCCTTAAGGACGTGGTCTGTATCCAATGAAACTTTCGGATTATTCTTAACACTCCATCCACCTCACTTGTCCTCTTGGCGCTGGCTGTACACGAGATGTTCCGCCGGGAACATTGACAGGGGTTTCTCCGGGTTCACATCAGCCCCCACTAGCCAGAACAAGCGCAGGGCAGGCATGACTTCGAGGCTGCAGTCCTAGATCTCGAACAGCCTTTGGCTGCACGCAGACTGCAAGGCTCATCTGGGTTAAATTTCGGATTCATTTTCCCCCGGCAGCCTTTGGTGGCGCTGCAGGGTAAGGAATACCGGCC